ACTATTCTTGATAAAGCCATTATGTCTTTTGGGATACTTGATTCTTAAAAGCTCTATAATTAAAAACCTGTGATTGATAAAGATGCTTGCCAATAAACGTACCACTTAAGTTTTCTGAATGAATGTGGATAATGAGACATAGTATTAAAACAGATTAGAGGACCCATTCCCTAGAGTAATTAGAACTTCAGTTACATTTTTACATAAGATAAATTGAAGTAATACCTATTTTAAAGGGAGAGGTGATACCAAGGGGGTGTTTGTATCCAGTGGTTCTCAATATGTGAGCCTTAGACCAGCAGCATCAGTATCACCTGGAAATTTGTGCAAATTATCTAGACTCCTCAGACCTTTAGATGATTCTGATATAGCTAAAGTTTGAGAACCACTGCTATAAAGTTCTATCTTCATTGTTATTAACTTTGGTTGGTATGCAGTAATGCTGTATGGGTCACTTCTATTGCAAGTGACAGAAATCCATCTTAAACTAGCTTAAGAAAAAAGGAATTTACAGGCTGTCTTAGCTGGGTTGGGAGATTATTGGGATAGCTCACAGATTGAAAGCAATAGTTGCAAAGAATCAGGGCCCTGGGGGTTGGAACTGCTTGTCTCTGCATGACTTTGTCCTGTTTATAGATCCTAGATAAGTGGGAAGTATGGTCACAGGGCAGCTCTAAATTCACATCCTACGAGCTTAGCAACTCCAGAGGAGCTGCTTTCTACCCTTCACAAGCCCATCCCTCAACCATTATGTTCGTGGGGATGAGGGTCAATGACTGGTCTAGCCTGGGTCATATGTCTGTCTATAGGAGGAAACGATGAAAAAGTGTGCTACTTTGGCAATGTGGTTCACTACTAGGTAATTGGGTTTGCTTTCAAATAGGCTTAAGTATCTTTGAGAAGGAGAGAAAGAGAAATCTGGAGGTTTGTAGAGTTAGAAAGTGGAACATACTCAAACTTACAGTATTTCTCAGCTACTTTTTTGTTACAGAGTAGTTATCTTAAAAGGTTTAGGGTGCCTTAATCTGAGAGTTGATGTTTTAGGTTTATTATTTTGTATGAAGTTAATTTTTTGTCACTGTAAAAATAAATATACTACAGAACATCTGGAAAATATAGAGATATAGAAAAAAATCACCTAATGTTCTGCTATCCAGAGACAACTACCTTTTGGTGAATTTCCTCTGTATATTTTCTTGCATATTTTTATGGTCATATTATGATGCTATTTTTTTCTTTGTTTTGATCAGTATGAATTTATTTACAACTTTCTGTCAAGGTAATGAAAACCTAATCTCATTCAATGTAGAGTCCACCAGGGTTATATGATGTTAATTTTTAAATCTTATTTTTTCACTTCATAAGTTAAAGGATATATTTAAGGTTTTTGACGTAAAACAACATCATTAGATAATTTTAATTGTTTAGTTCATTTAATGGGCAAAAATGGTATCGAATTTTAATTTTTTATGTCATTAATTACTGTTAAGTTTGACATTTTTTTTGGTTTCACTATTTACGGTTTCTCTTTGTGACATTCCGAATTCTTTATGCATTATTCTAAATTAGCATCTTTAGTGTTTTTTTAAATATTGATTTGTATGAGCTCATTAAAAGAGTTCTGTTTTCTTTAAATAGTTTCCTAGTTTATAGTTTACAGGGGTTTTTTTTGACATATAAACTGAAATTATTTTGTGCATTTAAATTCCATCTGGCTTTTGATATGTTTTCTCATTTTTGAGTTTAGACATTCTCTGCTTTTAGAGATCTAATAACTTTTCTTCTGGTGTTATTTTTTTATTTTGTTTATTATAACTGTTTAATCCATCTAGAATTTATTTTGAAGCATGATGTAAGGTAAAGCTATATTTATTCATGATTAATGTTTTGAATTTTTATATAAATTCTATCATTCTTAAAATATTTTCAAGCTGTTATACTTGAAGAAAAATGCATCTTAAGCTTCTTTTTAGTTACTTCTGTAGGCTAATGGTTCTTGATTCATTGTGCAGTTTAAAGACAATGAAAGATGACAAACTTTAGTGACAAAATATATTTTAGCAATGAAAAAATAACCTCTTATCTGACAAATCTAAACTCATCACAGTTAAAAGTTTAGACAACATTTATGATTAGCCTTTTGTTAGTACAGCGAAAACATTCATATTTTCTGGAAATAGCATTTACTCATGAGGAAAATTATGATAGAAATCTGTTTAAACAGAAAATTCTAGACTCTTCAGACAGCCCCGCATTTTGAAAAAGCCTTGTGCTTTGGCAGGAGCCCAGGAGAGGAAGTGTCTACATCTGCTACATTCTAGAAACCTTCCCAAAATCACTGTAAGGCAGCCAAGAGAGCGGTGTATTTCACTACTTGTGGTTCTGGAAGTATCTGGAAGTTTGCAGCAAATTTTAGGGAAGAGATTTAGGAGTACTTTCAGAAAGTCAGTTTTTGTGATGATCTATTTTTATTGAGATTGAAGTTAGGGGGAAAGTGGGGTTATTTTTCAGCTTTTGTGGAATAGGGAGCTTTTGATGTGGACTTGAATCTGTTTAGCTCAAG